GTGTGTGTATATCTGGATTGTGGCAATATGCTCGTGTAAAGTAAAAGAAAAAAAAAAAAAGAACATTCCAACCGAGTAATGTTGCACCGCTCCTTTAAGGAAAGCTGGCGCACGCTACACGTGTCTAATCAACATGTTCACAGTACCATAGTCTCCTTTATACTGACCACGGTGACACTAACAAAGCCTGGCAGATCGCCACGAGACGCGGCCGTCGAAAGTGAAGAGGTAGAGCGGCAGACAACGGATGAAAGGAGGAGCCACGTGACGGGCGCCCCGCTGCGGCGAGACGCCGAAACACACTTCTCCCGAGTGACGGAATGTCCACTTGTGCTCCTCGCGTTCCTCGCGCTACCGCTTTTTTTTTCTCGTCGGGTTTGAAAACCATGTTTCGGGTTCTCGCCGCTGCAAAATCTGTGTGCCGAATACCAGAAATGCTCTGTGCTAGCAGATCCTCGCGCTCTAAATCTGCGACCGGGCACTCTATGGCACCACTATAGTAGAGATCAGTGGATGGCACCGTCGACGAACTGCCAAGCTTTGTGAGTATAGAGGAGGCTATGACGGTACTAATCGCGACTCCAGCAAAACGGAGGGCACCTAGCTGGCAAACACTGAACTGGCCGGGACAGGCCCTTGGCGATTTTTGCTCGTCTCTCGTGACTTCCGTGATTACACCACGTCGGTGGTTTGCGCCATGGAATAGTTGTTCCGGTGACTCTGTCCTAACTGTAGTACCAGCTTGTTACCCGGGTTGCTCTGAACGCAACCTACGTAACCGGGTGAACCAGACACTCCGCGTTTATCAACGTTCACTGGCACCGTGGAAAGACAGCAAGCAGTCGTTTCATCTCTTCGTCGAAGAAAGACGAGCCTAACTGGAAGCTCGCTCACGTCAACGCATCGCGGCAGGTTCGAAACGTGGAGGATAAAAATCGTGGCGAACCGTTTTGAGTTCAATGCTTTCTCGCTGACGCCCCGGCGTTGTGCCTTGAGCTGGCACATGCCATACTTGTTTGAGACCGCCATATTTGCCCGATAGCGGCGTCCCATAGAAGGCGCTCGTGTGGTGAATTAAACGAATCAAGGTAGTTTTTATTTTGTTTTTTCCGATGTGCCAAACTGGCTTATAGTTTGTGTTCATCAGCCAGTTTGTCACATCGCACAAGAAATAGCTCGACTCGCTCAACAGAACAGTGAGCAATACTGTGTCGGATCAACACGCCTTACGGGAACTAGTTTTTTATTATTTTATTTTATTAGTTTCGGCACAAGTTAGCGGAAACACCCTGTATATGCGATCTCACATGAATACACGAAATCACGAGGAAGTAAATATATTCGGCGAAAGCTTGTCACATATTGTACCCCTGTATCGGGTTCAATATTCCTCAAACTAATTGCGCTACTAAGCATATAGTACGGCTGTTTTGTGACTAAGTGCCTTATTATTTATTTTTTTGTTATTCAATTTATGTCGTCTGTGTTTACGAGGACGGCTCCCTGTGCTGCTTGTTAATAAAAACATAGCGAATTTGAAGTCCATATATGTATCCATATGGATCCATAATATGCCCATCTTTCCTAGTGAAAGAAAAATAAAATGATTGATCGATTGATGTGCTGCCGACCGATGCTTTGATCGGGGTGCATTGTGCAACGCTCCACGTTCCAAAGCGAGATTCAGGTGGTGAAATGCAGATTGAGGTCGACACAAAACAGAGTGCAGGAGTTTGCTAATAGAAAACATGAGATCTCCAAGGACTCGCAGCAGCGTCAAATTTCTCTTTTCCTTTTTTTTTTTTTTTGTTTTGTTTTAGATAGTTATTCGACGTAAGGTAAAGATGTTCGTCGGGTTAGCTTTTATCTCTCGGGGATGTGTTGAGAGAGTCCTGTTTAGAGGCTCCACCGAGCTGATGAAAGTCTGCTAAAACTTTACTTCTTACGATAGCAGAGGTAGTAGGTTATGTGTACTCGAATCTGTAGGCTTTGAGGCCCTCTCAAGGTCGTTGAAATTTGACTCTACATTTTCTATTAATTTTTCTTCTCCTCACATTCGTGATTTGCTGCATCTTCTAGTACCGTGCACATCTTTCCACCTTTATTTATCCTCGCCAAAATGGCCGTGGCACTGGGCTGTGGCAACGCATGCCCACGGCGTCAAAGATTCTACAGAGTCAGATCTTGTGTTATCGCTCTATTGCGCGCATAAACAATGGCGACAGTCCACACGCTGCACGCCGGTTCTTAGGTTTTTGGCACGGGCAGCTCGGTGACAAAGTTAGACGTAAAAGTAAGATTTGAAACGGAGACGCAAAAACGTTATGGCCTAAAGAACAGTTTCCCCATCGCAGCGGGTTTTTTTTCCGAGTCGTCCAATTCGCGTAGGCGTCGGACGCATTACGATTGCCCCAAGATGTACCGATCGAAAAGCGTAATCTGCGTAGGACCATTTTTTTTTTCATGGATACAGACACAAAGTGCTTCCGGATTTTTTATTCTTTTTATTATTACAAATGTTTAAATTTTCAGCCTTCTCATAACCAAAGTAGCGCCAGTAACGCCTGTCGGGTTTGTTTTTTTCTTCTTTTTGACCCGAAAGGGTACGACACGACCACATTTCTCGCGGCTATCCTTCATCGTCTGATCGATATAGGGTCCTCCGGTCTTCGACCTCCGAAGGACCCTCGACTGCGATCAGCGTCAAAGATTCTGCCGACGGGAATCCGTTCCTCTCGCTGAACTGCGGGATCCCGAATGCATTTAAGACGTAATCTTGGCTCTAATCGCTCCTGTCGAACGCGAGCTCGCTCCAACTCCCGCAGTGCCGTGGCACATGTCGTAAAGGGGGCGCCACGATGTGTGCAAGGGTGCGCTTTAACCAAAGTCAGATGTGCTACAGTGATTGTGCGTTCCCGGTACGCTGCGTATGCGTTTCAATACCTGCTACGTGCGCTGGCTACTGCATCGAGGTTTTGGTTTTCTACGCAGTTGTGTAATTTAACGTTATGTCTCGGACAACGGGATGTGTCGATCGCCACGAGCGAAAGCAGGAAAAAAAAACAAAAAACTGTAGGCTGTCTTCTGACTTTAAGACCCTCTGTGATGTTCGTCGCCCTTTAGCTTGACCTGTCTTGTCGCGCTGCTCGTACATATACATGGCATAAGGGACACGCTGTTCGTCGCAGCCGTGATGTCCGCGGGCACGTGTCAACATGTGCGAGGCATGTATTAACAAGTCTGCAGATATTCTTTGTATGACCAAAGAAGAAACACAGCCCAGATAATGTCTTCAGACTGTATGATGTTATCAGTGCGATCGCGACTTTAAGAGCAGAGAGCAGTCTATAAACGAGCTTGACGGGGAAGACCATTATCCTGGACACATGGCACGGCCCGGAATGCATGGACGAATGCTTCTTTGGTGCTCACGGAAGCACACACAAAGGAAGTCGAAGCACGCTAGGAAACATTCCTCCTGAAATCATCCGAATACACTCTAAGAAACAGAAAAAAAAAGAAAAACTTGCAAAATACAGTTTTTTTTTTTTTTTTTGCAGGACGTGGAGGCAGTTATTAACGGCGAACAGTTGAAGGACCCCAGCGAATGACGAAGCTTGGAGCACGACTACTACTGTAAAATGCGGCGTGCGCAGGGATGATGCGCGTGATGACGTTTCACATGGTCCAATTGTACCCGCGCCCATCGTACTATTCGGATCTATATAGTTGTTGCTGGCAGGGTATACTGCCATCGTTATACTCTACCGATCAACGTTAAGTTAATGGTTTATAATTTATAATTGTTGCCATTTAGTTTCGGGGCACAACCACTTTAACGAATCTTGAAAGGGTAGATCCGTTGCCAAAGAAAGCGGTGAGAGCCATGTACGCCCTTACTGCTTCGCTTTAGTCTCATACATTTGACCTATTTAAAAAGGTCCTCATCTTCAACATTCACGATTTGTATCGCTACAAACTTAAAGATAAAAGTCACTAGAATTGCAAACTTTCTAACAACCCTTGGTCGTCTCCGAAAACTTATTAATGTGTATTCTACCCGTGGCGCCAGCTGTTTGAAGGCGGTCGTGCAAATAACAAACTATTGCACACAAACGCTAAAAAACAATGTCCCTAATTTACAAAATTTTTAACAATCCAAATATTTAGATTTAAATCAAATTCCAATAAGAGAAGTTTTATCACTGTTTTTTTTTTTTTTTTTTACGAATGCTTATGATTATTAGTTGCAGTTACTGTCGTTATTTGTGATAGCTGCTGAATTCGTTATGGTGACTTTTGTATATTGCCTTTTTTTAATTTTCTGATGTGCGCCCGTCGTTGTAGACTGTAGGTGGTCAAGGAAACGTCACGCTGCCTATATTGCAACTTTTTTCCCTTTATCGCCGCCATCATTTTGTGATAGAAAGAAATGTCTATTATCTTGAACTTCGTCATTCTCGGGATCCTTCTGGCGTTCGCCATGTTTGGCTGCTTGCGTGTTCTGCAGGAACAGTGTTTTGTTCAGGCCCCTACGCACAGTTTAAGAGCGTTTGAGTACGTTTGACTGCGATCCGTCGAGATACGAAAGCGAGTCTGTGCTTCGAATGAAGCGTGGAATTAAATTCAAGGAATAGCTTGGCACGCGACATAAGAATCAGGAATGCCCTGGTTTCTCGCATCCGCACAGCAGTGAAACACATTTAAACACTCTCAAATATGAATTGCTCCAAGAAAATGTATTGTTCGAATATGTTAGTTTTTGTATGACCAATGTGAGAACCGTCCTACAAGGAAGAAACCTGCCTCAGACTGTGTTTGCAGACTGTCTTCTGTATGCTTTATTGGCATTGTGATCGCGGCTTTAAGGACTTGACTCTGGAGAAGAAAACCGAACATCGCTTTGCGTTCCGCGGCGGACAGCCGGCAAGCATCATCGCCACCGCCATCCCCATCCTGTCTGGAACCAGCGTCTCTTCGAACGAACCGTCAGAACCATCATGGGATCCTACTACTTGGGGTACCTTCGCACCTCAGGAGGCCAGCTCAAGATGTTCCAGGTGATGATAGGTCTCATCCATATGTTCTACCTGATGGGCATCAACTTCGACCGAGAGAACGAACTCTACGTCATCCGCATGGACGTGCTCATCATGCTCATGGGCACCTTCAGCGTCGTCTTCACGGCCTCCTTCGCGCTCATCACCGTCTTGCTGGGCTCGACGGAGGTGCCCTTCTCGCTGCTCTACAGACTCCTCTACCTCTCCCTGACCGTGGTCATGCTCCCCGCCACGGCGGCCTTCATCAAGGAAGAGAACAATCACGCGTCCTTGCGGGAGCTGGTCGTGTCCTCCGTGACGTCCACTCTCCTCTGCATCGGTATCTTCGCCAACTTTGTGCTGGCCTACAGGCCGACCATCTACGAGTCGCTCATATGGGTGCCGGTCAAGAAGCCTCCGCCAGGCTACAAGGCAGGCAAGAAGGACAAGTCGACCGTTTGACCCTGTCGTGCTTTCTTGAATGGCAGACATCCTCTCGGGTTCCAGGGCACAGTGCAGAGTTTTCGTGATGTCACGAAAGAATGCTGGGAGCGAACCATATGACTATCTGAGACTCGTTGATATGTCGAATTTAAACTCGAAAATGATCGTAAGGAGATGCATGCACATAAAGCACACATACCATAGATATGTCTCGCTGTGTGTATCTTTACAATTTCGTGCCTATAGGCCGTATCTTCCTTTGTTCATTTCCAACCTAAGCCAAAACGATCTTTTCTTGACGCCATAGCGTCCAGTAGTACTGGCTCCTTGTGTTCTACTGGAGGTTGGTGTAAGGTGCCCCTTCACTTACTATTATGGAAATTTGAGAAATGACTTACACAAAAGTCGTCATATACTAAACAATCTCGCGGATACCGCAACTGTAACATTAGCAGTTGTCGGGGTATGCATACTGATGGAGTCCGAATGTTGAATGGACATCACGTATTTGCATCTTCACAATTACTTTTTCTTTCAAAGAAGAGTTGACTTACCTCACGTGAAACGCTTAATTTGAGCCTCTGGGAACTTATATTTTTATATGTCAACAACGAGTATGACCTAGGACATTTACAGACAATAAACTATGTATAAAAATAATAATAATGGTCATGTCTAAATTGCGTCACTATGACACGCAAAGCTCATGCGTCTCTTCCTCTTTCCGTGACGATTTTGCAGCGTCGTGAATGTTTCCAAGCATGGAAGCCGCTCGTTTCTCGACACCTTTAACGCGGACTAGTGACCTCCGTGTACATCCTGAAAACAACAACAAAAACAACAGCAAGTTGAGAAAGCTAACCGATCGTAGCACACAGTTAAGTACCGTCGCGGAAGCCACGGGCGACGGTGTCTGCGCTCTCTTCTATACACCACCGAGAAGAGACCTGCGCACATTTCTCGGTTAAGAATAGTATTCCTGGACAGGCAGAGGAAAGTTATTCCCCCCCAATCTCAACGACGTTGTCTCCTGTTTCCCGTGGAAGCCATCGCGCCGCCCGCCACCTCGCGGTTATAGCGGTTATTTTTAAAAGCAAGCGCCCCCCGACCACTCGCAAATGACCACTTCGCTCGTTGCCTTCCACGGCGCCCACCCTGTACACACGACGCGACAGGAAATAGTCCCCTTGTTGGGTTGCCGAATGTTGCGTGACGAGCCCAAACTTTTTCTTTTGGTTTTGTTCTCCTCCAAGAAGTAAGTGGTCGCATCGTGCGCGCGCACTTACGAAGCCTCTTGAACAAGCACCCAGAAGACAAGGCTTGTATACTCTCCCCTAGACGTCATCGCTTATGGAGCGCCGCCTAGCTACCGCTTTGGACAACCAGGTCCACAACAATGACGTAATGCTCGGGCCTTCTCTTCTATTGACTCCGGTCGCTGTATCTCGTCTTCATGTTTTGTTTCTTTCGGAACCGTGCTTATTGCGGCTGCTTTCTTCGGCCCTGCTATAATCGGTGCAGTTATTCGCAAATCCGGCTCTTACGTACATGCATAATGCCGCTTTTTTTTTTTTTCTTTTTACTGGTGCCCGAATCGGATGCATCGGTGTTGACAGGAGATGGTCTTTCTATTATTATTACTGGGGGCAAGAAAGAGCACTCACGCTCGGACCAATCGAACACGCGAAGAGAACTTCCTTCCGGTTTGTCGAGGTGATTCCGGTCGACGCCAAACTCGCTCGCTCGGCGCTCTCCCTTCTTTCCTCTTATGTACGTTTATGTTTGAGGGAATTCGTTTGCTTTGCGGAGTCCGTTCCTTGACCTTAATCGCGCTTCGTGGCGCAGTCGGAATGCCGTCCGGGAACGCTCTTCGATTAATAACGATGACACCGTCCCCTTCGCTCTGCTTTTCGTTCGGCCGTTACACGCGCTGCTCGTCGAGTTCAACGAAAACGCCTACTTTCCGGCGGGATTTCAAGCGCGCCTTGTTTCGTTAGAAGGATGATCCGACGCTTGTAGCGAGTTTAAATGGAAGCGGAAATAAGCGATGTGCTGCTGGTCGGACTCGAAGGCCGCAGCGGATGCGAGTTTCGGAGGACAAACTTATGGTCCGGAGAGCCCTGCATATCCGCGGATTACGTCCGCAGATCATCCGCGGATATCCGAGGTCAATTGATGGAAGCGGATAAAAATGAATAAAATTTGGCGAATTGCAGATCGGATGCGGATGCAAAAACGGTTCCCTAAAACTCTCTACTAGAGAGTTTAGGGAACCGTTTTTGTACATCATGGACCCTCCATGATGTGTAGCGTTAAGCAAATCTTTTGTGGTAGTGCATGCTCAGTTTGTACCGGAGGGCCCCCATCATGGGATCTGCAAAAACGATTCGCTAAAGCTCTCTATTATAGATTCCGTTAATACGGATACTTCGCTATATAGGGACACCATTTTCTGGGAGAAACTGGGAAAATACACCCACTTTTGACTCACATTATGGACCACATTTTCGGGGGAACGGAGGTGTCCATATTAACGAGACATCGCAGCGTCCCCGCAGGATTCCGCCCAAAGAGTATACAAGTGTAAGTTATGGGAGTTCAATGACGCACACTGATAGCTCACGCCTGAAACTTCCCCTATGACGATTCGACAGAGAGCGGTCCAAAGCACAAAACCGCAAACATAAACATACCACAGTCAGGTAAGCTCTCGCTCGCCGGTATTGCTAATATACCTTTGCAAAATCCCCCAAGCGCCCCGGCCCGCGCGCGAGGAACTGTGGGCGAGACATGTCCCTCGCCTGGCCGCTCTGCCTTGAGATTGCATTGCCTTGTCGCTTGCCTCCTCTGAATCCTCTATGTTTCTATTCCATTACCTATTTTTATTTATTCCAGTGTATTTTTTATTGCTTCTAAGTGTTTCTATTCTCTTCTGCGTGCGATATTTATTTGTGTCTTTATTTTGTCTTTTTCGACGGGAGTGCCGACAGGACAACACGCCGCTTTGCGCGTCGTTCCCCGGGTGAGTACTACCGTTGCTACCGATTCCAATCGCGCTGTTAGCTGTTCATTTTGGTTCAATTTGACCCGCGTGCAGCCGAGAGGAGCCGTTAATGAACACCCGCGCACATGTCATAGGGGTAGGCAGAGCTCTGAATCAACAATCGCGACGCGAGAGCCGAGTGCGCTGTGATTTGGCCGCCCGCGCTCGCTCCGTTGACTCGCACTGTAGCGTATGCCTTCGAGTGCCGCTTACTTGATCAAGATACAGCACGCAGCTTTGTCGCCGCGAATCATTTGTCCGAATGTTTGCGAAGCTGAGGCATATGCAACGCTGCGGCGCCTGACAACTGCGCGTTGAGGCGCGAGCCCTTCGCAAGCGCCGGTGGCCCAACGTCACGGCTTGTATGCGCTTATGGTATGCCTTCTTAATCTATCTGCTAAGTGGTTGTCAGTTGCAAACACCCTTTTTCAAGTGCTGACAACTGCGCGCCGCTGCGTGCAGTTAGTTGTCAGGCGCCGCAGCGTTGGATATGCCGAACGGTGTTGCGGTTTCGCAGGCATTCGGACAAATGATTCGCGGCGACAAAGCGGCGTGCTGTATGTTGGTCAAGTAAGCGGCACTCGAAGGCATACGCTACAGTGCGAGTCAAGGGAGCGAGCGCGGGCGGCCAAATCACAGCGCACTCGGCTCTCGCGTCGCGATTGTTGATTCAGAGCTCTGCCTGTTCCTATGACATGTGCGCGGGTGTTCATTAACGGCTCCTCTCGACTGCACGCGGGTCAAATTGAACCAAAATGAACAGCCAACAGCGCGATAGGAATCGGTAGCAACGGCAGTACTCACCCGAGGAACGACGCGCGAAGCGGCGTGTTGTCCTGTCGGCACTCCCGTTGAAAAAGGCAAAATAAAGAAGCAAATACTATATAAATACAAGAAATATGGCGCGCAGAAGAAAATAAAAACACTTAGAAGCAATAAAATATACACTGGAATAGATAAAAATAGGTAATGGAATCGAAAGACAGAGGATTCAGAGGAGGCAAGCGACAAGGCAATGCGATCTCAATGCAGAGCGGCCAGGCGAGGGACAGTCACTCCCACAATTCCTCGCGCGCGGGCCGGGGCGCTTGGGAAAATGAGCGGCGAGATGTTTTGGTGGCGCCCTCCTACAGTACCCCCTTGTAACCTCATTACCTTGTAAACAACAAGTTCGATGGTGATTGTTATTAGCATGGTGGAAGCTTGAAATCATTGCGCTCTCAAAGGAACGCTGCCAACACCGTCAAAATCAAAGTTCTTTCATTCCTCTTATTTCCGTCGATGATAAATCCCCTTTCCGACGTCATAGTCAGCGTTCGGCCAATCGTGGAAGGCCGACCACAGCGACGCTTTCGGTCGCGCACGTTGCCTAATAGCAAATCGTCTATTTCCTCCTCTCTATTCGCCTCCCCTTCAGTTTTGCAACGCCTCGCCATTGCACACCCGAGGAACCTTAGTTGCGCGCAAGCTCGACTTGCGTGATCGTGTATTTTACGAATCTAACGTTAATAGTTAAGGGCAATTTCGACGACATACAAGAGCCGTAAAGAAGGCAGAGTAAAGGTATTATTCAAAATTACCAAACATGCAATCTAAAAAAAAAAAAAAAAAAAAAGTGTTAGTGAGGATGCAGAGAAGGCACTTTCGTGTTTCAATCGTAGCCGGGGAAATTCTATAACCTTGATTCGGTCGTGGCATCGTCTTGACGTTTACCTTTGTCTACGGGCGTTCGCACGACGAGAACTCTGTCCGCGTTCAAGTGTAGCGGCTTCGCTGTATATTGTGGAGACATGGCTGCACGAACATTCCCGTACCAGGACCAGGTCCAATGATGATGTTGTTCACACTAGTACAAGTACATTTGTTTGGGATGTCCGACCTTGAACCACAGCGAAAAACCGATTTGATCACCTAATTCCAGAAGCTGCGTTCGAGGACGAGTTCCACTGGCACGCTCCTAAATCCAATTTACATG